AGTTTTCCATTTCCTGATCTTCTTCCCTCTCTCAATAAAAGTCCCAACTTCCCAAACACTGAGAAAATTGATTAACAACATTTAAAGAGAGAAATTTGAAATTTGTTGAAGCATTTTTGGAACCGAATAAACTGTTAAGATAAGTTAGACTAATTTGTTGCTGCGAAAGCGCCTAGTAAATGTTCTCATCCTGGCGCCTAAATGCATGCAATCTCATGATGTGATATTATGGAAAATATCGCAAATAAGCGCAAATTTGCGGTATTTCTTAACACGAAAAGTCATACTCTCAGCTTTAGACCATTACTTCGACAAACGGCAGTAACTTTTACATTTGCTTTTAAAAATGTATTTACATGTTTTTATATGCATTTGTTTGCGTTAAAAATGCTGCTACGCACACACATATTTATTATAAGAAAGTAACTTAACAATGTGGATGTATGTGTGCATGTAAATTGGTCGTGATGCGGCGTGTTCTTATGCGCGTATTGCCTTACGTCCTTTTCACTTTTTATTGAGTCGTAAATTATGATCAAATTTAATGAACGGTAAATTAAAGCTATAAATTATGTGCGCGTGTATATGTGCGAAAATATAAACGAGCGTTTCACTCAATAAGCGTCTGTAAACAAGGAATCTATCTACGTAAAGCAACGACAGTGTATGTGTGTGTTTCCTTTAATGTTTTAGTAATCGCATTCGTTTGCTCGTTAACACAGCGCATATCATGCAACCGAATTGCGCCACTTTTTAACGAAATTAAATTACAACGTTCGATAATTCATGCGCTACATCCGCCCTCCCGCTATTGGCGTGTTTATTTCACTTCAGTTTATTCGCAATTCATCTTGTCATGTCTAAAAACATAAAGAATTAGTTAGTAACAGAAGGACCTAAATAGAACTGGAGCACGCGCTATCCGAGCAAGGCGCTAATGGATATGGAATCAAGAGCTGTATTTAATCATGAACGTGAAATTTTGAGATTGTTAAAGTTAGCTTTTTTCTCTTGTTTCTCTAGAATGCTCTCTTTATGACATCAAAAAATCAGTTTTAGGAAATTTTTTAAACTTTCGGGTCAAAATAAACAAAGGATAACTAACAAAAATCAAAATAAGGATTCAGATTATATTATAATCAGCTTTTTTTTTACCCAAACATCTTTCTGTGACTAATTTCTTTCAAGCTTTCCAAAGAGTTTAAAGAAATAACGCGTGCCGTTGGGGTAAATCAATTACCACCCTGTGTAAAGAATTAAATTGTCTAGCTACGAGCCGGAGGTTTAAAAACTCTTTAAATTTCCCTTCTTATATATAATTTAAAAGACTTTAATTTCTTTATATGACATCATATTTTCTTACCGTTTTATACTTTTCCGCCGATTTCGAAGTTGTAAGTAATTCAATTTACTTTAAAGCCCCCCAGATAAATAACCCATTTGATTTCGGATTCCATAATAATTTCAACTATACTTTATTTAAAGAAATATTCATAATGTTTCTGGGTCAACAAAGTCAGATTTCCTCAAAAGCATCAAGCTTCCGTTTTCCGGAATCTGCAACTAGTACACATATAATTTTCGTTTCGGCAATCTATCACCAGTTCGAAGGAGCAACAGTATTGTAAGAGGTATTGTAAGAGTCACAATACTGGAGTGTTTTTACAAATAGTACAATATTTGAGGGAGTTCTGAGCTGAGTGATTTTTTACTTGTGTACTTATATCTAAAATTTACAACGTAAGACATCATAAGTACATTAGTTTACGAGAGGGCTACTTTTAGCTGGTGTCAACAAGCAAGTTCGATCATACTCAACGCAACTCTCTGGTTCTGAACGCAAATTCTGAGCGAAGAGACAATCTTCAGCATACTACGATTTTTTAACAGAGGTAGTCGAAATTTTCTCTTTAGTTATGAAATATTTAAATAGCAATTATTTTATGGCAGATACCTTGACTGATGGATATTTTTGTTTCTTTTAATGAACCAATCAAATATTTGCCTAATTTACTATAAATCTCTGAATACACCACTTTCAAATTCAACTTGAACGTCTGCAATAGGTATTTATTTCAAAAAAATTCAGAACTAGTGCTACAATTTTCGAAATCTGAATGCACAAAGGAATTCGATAGACAATGATTCAGAAACATAGAAAAGTAAGTAAGTTGCCTGAAATGACCACCGCCCACTATAATTAAGAAGTAATCACAACTGCTAAATATGCAACTCAGCATTCAATAGTTGCCTTGAAACCTACTTTTTCTCGTACCAGATCATAAATCTAGGAACTGCAGGCCAAACTCAGATTTTATGTTGCCTTTTATGCAATGGTAATTACACTTAAAAGCATCAATAAATTGCAGTAGCCATGGGTTTGTGTGCCACTATGGGCAGATATGAGAATATGGATAATATCAGTGGGCAAAGCAGCTCTGCTTCAAAGAGTATTATGAATTCAACAACAAACAGATGCATTACACCTATTACTCCATCGCCAACCCGCTCCCGACAAACAGTCATACATTCAATCGCTCAAGCATTCATGAGTCCAAGCACTCATTGGATGTTTACAAGGATAATAGTTTGCAATTTCCTTTCATTTGCTGTGCAAAAAGTGGGCATCCACGGCGGCAACAATGGTCAACACTAATACATGACTTCGCATCGAGCTGAATACGAGCGTGGCGGGCTGAAATGGAACAAAGCCAAGTGGAATGAAGCGAACTATTTCGCTTAGATGTGGAGAGGAGTGGATTGAATTGAATTGGCTCGGACTTTTAAATGGCAATGAAAGTTGGTTGCACTTTATCTCGTTGGTCATAATTTAAATGAACTGTAAATGAGTATGGAAGCGCCAATGAATAATGCTGATAAAATCAATGCTACAACAACAATAACAGCCCTCTTGTGCTTTACAAACACATGTACGCAGGTACGTCTATATACATAGGTGTCCTTAAGTGGAAATTTGCTGCTGGTCACATCCTCATCATTAGCAGCAGCAGCCAACTTCCACTCAAACTCCAAGCAACACGAAGCTTGAACTCCTAGTTTTCCAGCATCCGTCTGCCCGTCTGCTCATTTAGCCACAAGCAGAGACATTTGTTGAGCTATCTATGCATCTGACTGTCTGTCTCTCGGCTTGTTTGAGAAACACTGTGTGTGTGGCAAGCACAAAAATTACTGCATTGCCGTATTTTCCTTTGACCGTGAACAAACCGTAAAGCATGACCCAACACAACAACACACATGCACATGCGAGTATCAGCATCAGCATCATAGTAGAGGGGCGGGTGTAAAGGGGCTGCAGCGACCATTACCACCTGCATCATATTATCAGACATGTAGTTAATGACAGCAAAAATTACCGAAGCTATGAGCTGAGTGCAGGCTATGGGCGCGAAATGAGTAGACAACACCTCGGGCGCACACACACAGGCACGCACACAATCGCATGTCAACATTGCAACGGCAATGGTCATTTTCACATTTGCAACTCATTTGCATGTAGTTGTGTGTGCGAGAGTGTGCATGTGTGCATTAAAATGCAGACCGCTTTCATGTGGCAAAATTATCGAGCATATCAGCAGACTATCTCTCTCTCTCTATCTCTCTCTCTCTCATTTGCTTTCACTATGTAGGACTGCATGTGGGTGTGCGGGCGTGAGGCATACAAAGCCCATACTTGTTAATTGTCCAAATTTCGTGCAATAAAATGTAAAAGTTGCAGCATGACTCATATACTCTCCTCAATCAAGCCGCCCACTAATCTACAAAAATGCAAGCGCAACACTGCATCAATATGCCTAAAGTTCTGCATACTTTTGTGCGCCAACATAAATTCATATTCAACGTCAGGCGTACAGAGAACACAATTATGCATGCGTATCTCTATGAGTATCGGTGTTGTAGGTGTTTATTGGTGGTTGCACCATTGCGATTGGCACTTTCAGTTTGCATTTTGCATTTTCACATTTTACACTTTCAAAGCTTTGCTTTGCAAATTTTAATTGCTTCACTCTAATGGTTTTGCGGCTTTGCCAATATGTAGACCAAGCTCAACAATATGCTTGTGTGTAAATATTGTTTTGGTGTTGACCCTCAATGACACATGTGTTTTATTAAATACACAGAAAGAAATTTTTTATGCCAGAAAAAAATAAATAACAATTTAGGAAGGGCTAAGTTCGGTTTCAACCGAGCAATTTATACTCTCGCCAGGTAAAGTGAGATACGGGATTTTCATACATATATTAATTTAAAATAAAATGCAGCCAAGATACTCGTACACTATTTAGAAAGAGATTACAATATTGAACCATATATTAGGTATATGGGGACTATGGGAAGTCTTGGCCCGATTTTATCCATTTCTGGCATAACGGCATGATGTCACCATAAAAGTAATCTCCTCGAATTTCAATTCTATAAATCACAGATTGGCCGATATGCTCGGTAAAAAGTCATCCATATGCACTGGGGTCCAGATAGTTGGTGTCTGCCTTCTTGAAAAGTTATAGCCCGTTTTCGGCAATTTTTAGGCATAAGATAAAATACCTTGAGATGATAACACATATATCGGCCAATGTGGGGCTTGTTTAAATGAAATTGAAAAAGCGTGTTTTTCTAATAACAGCGTATCTTTTCACCAAAATGGATAAAATCGAGCGAAAACTTGTTTTAGCCACCATATAGAAGAATATAGTAATAAATCATGGTATTACATTCACCATTTCATCGAAGAATGAAGTTGAGCCTTTTCGCTACATTTCTTAATATAAAGTTTTGCCAATACCTGAAGGTATTGCCCCTGCTTTGATCCTTGCAAGTTGCAAAAGTATGAAGGGTCACACATATCCTCAAAAATTAAACTGAAAATATTAAAAAATGTGTACAAGAGTAAAGCTTCTAAGAAATATTTTCGCAAAGTAAGTAATAAAATAGCTAACTCTGGACATATTTGACATTATTTGGTCATATATACAAAATACATATTTTTAGTGAAATTATTTGTAGGCATAGCTTAATTCTTTATTAGAGTCATGACAAAAATTACGATATACATTTTCTATATCCTATGTTAATAACATATATATACTTGTGCATATTTACATTTTCACAGCAACCAGAATGTAGTTGTACTAAATAAAAAAAGGAACTAAAACTCGTCCAACACACCCATATCCTCCAAGCGCTTGAGTCCATATTTTAGCTGGGCTTGTAAATGTTCTTGTGCATACACTTTTTTGTACTTTAGACGCGCGAACTCCTCATTTACCAAATTTTCGATACTGTTATCTTCGGATAACTCTTTCGGCATAGTAATTATAGGTAGAAAACCGAACAAACCGAAAAACCCATAAAGTTCACGAGAGCGCAATTCGTATTTTAAATCTTCTAAAGTTGGTATATTCTCGTAATGAAGGAATTCCAATGTATCCTTGAATGTTTTATAATATACATTTATGAGATCATCGCGTCGTTCCTTCAGCAAATTCAGACGTACGCTAGTGTTGAGAAAGAAGTTAAGATCGCAACCAGGGCTGCCATAGAAATTAAGTTGGAAATCGACCTGAAAGTTCACAAAACATGAATGAATGAGTAAATGAAATGAGAAGAAACGGTTTCGGACTTAAGTGAAACTTACAAAAATAGCGCGCGTTGGCTTCTCGGGTTGCTTGGGATCATCATAGGCGTACATGAAATTTGTTGTCCAGAGATCACCGTGGTTCATGACTACGATACGATCGCCCTCACGACGATCGGTTAACTGTGACAATATGGGCTTGAAATTGTCGTGAAAACGGTGTAATTTCTGTGCGATCTTTTCGAAACCGGGCCACTCGGCTGCATTATTAGCCAGGTGCTTCAGGGTACAGCCGAACATTATTTTGAAAGTATCACTTTTTAATATTGTCTGCTTGCTCAGTATACCGTTTACAATGCGCTTGGTGATGTCGGGATCCTATATAATATAATCATATTGCAAATTGTAAAAGTTTTTGAAAAATTTTTGCATTTTGCTGCACTCAATTTCTCTCAAAATTTGTGTCACACTTGCTTCCACAAATTAAGTGTTTAAATTGATAGCAACTTTTGTCGAACAAGATTAGTGCTTATCTATTGTGAGGGCTAGCCATTTCTCGTTAAGTCTTTTAAGTTTTTCGAAGTTGACTAGATATAATTGTTGGCATCCATGGAAAGAGTAAAATAATAAAACATTATAAAGCATTGGTATGCCGAGACCAATACGAAATTCTTGTATCAGACGCGTTTACCGCAAAATATATGATCCTTGAAAGTGTTTTTTAATTATGATTGCGGTTTGTTTTTGCTACAAAAAATAAAAAAACGCTGCAGTCATCATCTCTATATCTTGCTTCTGTATAACTCCCATTATATAGTAAGCACTAATTGTATAAGAAACGACTATTTACGCCTTTTCAATATACTTACGCGCTGAGCTAAAATCATTGAAGTGGCATGCAGACGCCCTATTTGTTGCAAGATCAATTCGCAGTGTTCCCAATCGAGCTGTTCCTGTCGCGAGGCAACTACAAAACCTTCGGGTTTCAAGTCAGAAAGTACAATGGTGCGAGTAGGTGCTTTGACTGCATAAAGGCAGCTGTGCAGAATAAAGAAAGCAAAATCATAATTTAGAATACCCGAAAAAACGCAACATATTTTAAAACATTGAATTGTTAAAAAAAAAATCTAAAGTGCGCTACAATTTTATTGGGTATACTGACGTGGCACTGAATTTCGGACCATCTACAAGTATTTGCAGCCGTGGCAATACGTCCAAGTAGGTCAACTTCTCCTTAAGAAAAACGCCTACATCTTCAAGAAAACGTGTGTCTTCAGTAATCGGTATAGTTTTGACGATTAACGACCGTTGCTCTTGTACCGGCGGCTCATCATCGTCAACTTGACGCTCATAGACCACTGAAACGCGATAGATGCGTGAGCAGTAATTATCACCGGGGTTGCTGCCCCATTCGAAAGTTACTTCATTAACCGTCAGCTGGATTTCACGCAAACCTTCCTCGAGCGCGGCCACGAAGAAGTCCTCATTCAAATAATCGGGCACAAGCACATTGTTCGCATTTTTGATAATCATCTTAAAATTGTCTCTATTTATCGATAATATATTTTTGTTTTTCTTATTTAACACCAGCTTTTAGTCCCGAACGGCCCACACAATCCGGAATGCTCCGCGTAATTCACTAAACTGAAATTTTCTTGGCTAAATGTTGTGCTTTAATAGAAGCATCTGTTAATACAACGATAACACAACATTTTTTTTTTTTTTTAGCGAAACTTTCTCACACACTTATAGACTTATTTAACTCATCCAATTAGTGCCCGGCAGCGTTGCCGTTTCTTATGCCTTGGTTTGTTTGGTTGGTATGCAATATTTTATATCAATATCTTCTATATATATATAAATGAAACCCGTTTCCAGTTGTCACGCCATAACATGAGAACGACTAGACCGAATTGGCTGTTTTTTTTTGTGTAGTTTTCTAATACTCTGTAGAAGGTTCTTACGGAAAAAAATATTAAGAAATTGTCTCAAAAAGATTGAAAAAATACATTTAATTTTGCATATTTTAAAAATCGCGCGTAACAAATGTCGTCGTCATTCACAGCCATAGACTATATTGAAAGAGCATCGTTTGTTCGAAAATGTGGTTACTTAATTAAATTCTATCGCACTAATTTACTAATTTTTCAAAACTACTCGCCACAACTAAATGTACCGACTTTGACGGTAATATTAATAATACCTGTGATGATTTAATTTTAATGTAAGTATTTAATAATAATAAAATATGTATACTATGAGTTAGATTTCAGAATAGAAGTTAGATTTCAAATACCAACTGCAACCAAATACGAAATGCCCTAAACTTCTAGCCAATTTCAGCACTATTGTACACGGACAAAATTAATTAATTGCCCGTATTTTCCCAGTCGCACAAAATAATTATTTAAATCATGACTGGCTCGGTAATCGAGCTATATGGAGAGAAACCAATTATGAAATTAGTTTTGATAATAACATTTTACTAAACTAAACTGCTTACTCAATATAATTTAATTATACCTTAGCTACCAAGGCGTGGCCGGGGTCTTCTAGTTTACAATAAAAGTTAATCGTAGCGAGTGGTTAAAAATATACAATTGGCTTGAAGACAACGAAGAGCGTACATTAAATGCATCATCATTTGAATTGAAATGAGACCCAATGTTTTGATGATAAAAGAATTTGGTAGTTTTGCAACAGATTTTTTAGGCATTTTGGGACCCAAAGATTTTTTTAAGTGGCAACACTGATGGCTAGTGCAGTGCTACTTAAAGAGAGCCTGAGCGCTCGACAGAGTATTGCTTAACTGTCGATCGACTGATTGCTCTGTGTGGCTTTTTATATTTCACCTTACGTTCATTTATAAACATTTACCACACGTGGAATAAATACAAGTAAGTGCGAGAAATACGCGTATATTTAAAAAATTTGCTACGTCATGCTCGCATACATGCGAAGATCAAGCAAAAGTGAGCGCTTAGCCGGTATTATTAATTTCTATATATTATATTATACTTATAGGTATAGTGATAAATTTGCATTTCAAAGTGATAAATCTGCTATGCTTTATGCTGTGCTCTAAACACGCTATCAGTCGTGCTATTGTTTCGTATACTGAGCACAGATCTCACTCACCAACGCGTACACACTCAAATTCCCCCAATTAGCTTTGTCATATAATGCAATTCTAATATAAGTTATTGTGTTGTAGGATGGAGCGAAAAAAATACATTTTTTGTTTTTGTTTAGCCTGAGGGTAAAATCTATAGATTATAAAAAGGGTAAAATTTTTGGACAAAAAAAAAATTTTTAACATCAGTTTTAAAGTAAAGTTTCGAGTTGAAATTTTTATTTCGTAAAAAAATTTTCACAAGTGTTCTAGAAGCTGTGGAGAGTTCTCTTTCTGGCCAATTAAAGGTTATTAACTTAAAAAATTTGTTTGTGGTCATTATTGGAGTTTTAAAAAGAAGTCTTAAACAACAACATGCTTTTCTCAGCCGTTAAAATAAATTTTGAGTCAAAAACCGTCACATTCAGTAATTTTTATATAAATGGAAAGTGTTTAAACCAAAAATACTTTTTTTTTGTCCAAAAAAAGTTTTAACTCGAAAATTACTTTAAAACTGAGTGGGCCGCCTCTTTTCTTTTTTTATGAACTATAGATTTTACCCACAGACTACAAAAAAAAACTTTTTTTCGCTACACCCTATTGTGTAGTTAGCAGTGTAATTAAATATCTTATCGCTCGCATTTATCCGTTCCAGTAACTTTTACGTAGAGTAATTATTTTACATTGTACTAGTAAGTATTTTATAAGCAATCAAAATGCATTTACATAAGAATAGTTTTGAAAGTAAAAAAATATTTGAATATTATCTGACGCTTAATCGAGATATACAATATATAGAGCTATTTATATATAAATGATCAGGATGACGAGACTGTGGGACTTATTTTAATGAAATTGAGAGCGCGTGTTTTTCTAATAACTTTGTATCTTTGTGCCTAAAATGGATTAAATTTTGAATTTTGAAACATCCGGCTGACTATACTCCATATATATATATATTTATATTTATGTATATATTTATAAAATTGCTTGAAAATAAGTTCTCAAATATACCTGAACAATATCAAAATTAATGCAATCAGCCCTTGCATTTCCCAGCCATCTTTATAGTGATTTCCGAATTTCCACCTGACTCAAAATCGTTTAGGTTGGTCAAAATTAGTAATATTTTAGTGAAATTAAGTGGACAAGATTTTGCACAAATTATTTGGTTTAGCGCTTAATATGAATGGAATTGGTTTAGACCTTGGTCCAAACTTCTTATCCCAAATGTAATGAATTCCAAAACCTCTGGTGGACGTTTTGCACATCATCTCGATACATTAAATTTAGCCTCTTTGCTTAAGTTAATATTAGATATGTTTTATTTGATAATGATTTTAATATAATTTTCACTGACGGTTAGTAAATTATAGTAATAAAACTAATTTAGTCTATGACACTTGTAAAGAAAGTTAAACATTTTTTGTTTTCTGAAGTTTCTAAACTGTTTCTTACCAATTTTATGTCGCTGATTTCAAATCTATTCTCAGTTTCTTTCTAGCAGCTCAAGTTTTAATGATGCAGGTACTTCTTGAAATATCATTACTCGGCTACTTGAATTAATTTTTAGAGCAAAAAATTACGAAATTTCATAAATAAACTGTTATTTCTACATTATGAAGAACTTGTTTAAATGATCCGAATTGTTTTTGTTTGGCTTTTGAGAGTGTATTTAGTACCGTGTAGTATGAGTGTGATGAATGCCCCTCTAGTAGCCAGAGACCGCATTATATTACCCCCTCTTCATATGAAGTTAGTTCTGAGAAAACAGTTTGTAAAAGCTTTAAACAAGGATGGGGAATGTTTTAAATATCTCAGTATTTCCACATAAGAGAAAATTGTTCTCATGTTAAGTAAGTGCAATATATTTTCAAATTCTAAATTTGTAGTTATTTTGGCAAATAATGTAATATGTTCATATTTCGAAAACTAGAGCTGCTAATGAAAAACTGACCGCAGATTTGGAATCAGCTTTTGCCACGCTTAAACTATTGTTTCCCAATCTAATATAAATTAAAAAGAAACAAATTTGATTGTAATCCATTTACGATTTTGTCGAACAATTTTGAATTCTAAATATTGTAATTTCTCTGTATTTAATTAATTTGACAAAATGATGTAGAAAATTTCAATATGAGTATTAGAAAGACATGGTAAATATTTCAGTCAAATATGTTTTACCACCTATTACAAACAGTTAAAAAAATATATAGATAAAAACTTCCGAGGTTTACGAAAGCATAAAGTTGTAAGTATTTTCATAGTAGTAATTCAATAAAATTGATAAGCGAAACGAATTATTACAACATAAATAAATAAAATTAAATAAATGATACGACTTTTTTATATGCTTCCCTTTGTCAGCCCTTAGAAAGTGGTAAATCGAACAAACAATTGGTATAAAAGCATAAAATGGAGATGGAACAGAAAGCGAGTCGAAGATAGTTGCTAAAGTGATGCAATATTAGCCTCGAAGTAAAAGCAATTGTCTACTGTCATTCAAACTCATTTAATTCTATACAAGTATGTACGCATATTTACAGTTTTAATCAAGCACTCTTTTTTAAAAATCATACTAAATCTTTATATACACTCACTTAAGATACCTTCACTCGTACTAATATATGCCATGTTACTATGTCTGACAATTAATAGGACACATATAACGTTAACGAAAATTAACGAAATTTATTCAACCGTCATGCTTTGAAATGTTAATTACCCACCTAATTGTCCGTTTTAAAAAGCGATTCACAACGTTCATCGCCACATCCGAACAAACAATCTTAATGAGAACGTTCTGCAGCAGTCGGCGTTCAAACAGACTGACGTGAATACAAGAATACCAGGAGTGAGAATGAAGGTGAGTGCATTTTTTTCACATACTAGTAACTACATAAGTACAGCTTGCCACACGGACATAATCATGCAGCAGCTATCAAATCAATCTTCATTTTCCAACATTTGGCCGGCGCTTAGTCGCTTGCGAAAATGAAAAATATTAACTCGTTAAATGCAAAGAAGTAAAAAAGTGGAATGTTTTTGAATAATTACTGTACTCATGTCGGACAAACAATAAATTAAAAATTTCGGCAGCAGACTTGCGATACAATTCAAGTATTTTGTTCTCCCAATGTATTGGTATATAAGTAACCGGTTTATGAATATTCAACTACCTACTACCTTGTTGTTTAAATTCCTTTACAAACCTGTATTAAAATATTATAATTTTTATCGCTACTCTTACGCAATTTGCGAATACGTCACACAGAAGCGTTTTGAAGTGTTGAGGCAACAACAAGAGGTGGGCATACATGTCGCAAAAAAGGCCTTCGTTACCGCCTCTACTTTATCTCCGCACAAATTTGTCTATACACACATGCGCACACATGTTTCACTGATTCTAATCAAATGCAAATTTTTAAACGCTTATAAACTACAATGTGAAGACCTCGAGACCTTGAAAATACACAAAATGTAGGCAGTAAAGAGTCGCGCCGTTCTGGTGCAGTTAAGGAAGTGGTTTTGA